GACACCAACGACAGTAGCAGCAGGCGGCACGACGTACAGAGTTGGCAAGTGGCGTGACGAGCAGAGCTGGGTGGGGAGAAACGTACACAGGCGATGACGTTCGTAGAAGAGACAGAGAGAACGGGGAGCTCTGCTATGGGTGAAGTGATGAAATGGAGCGTCGCAACATGCGTAAAACAGAAGATACTATGTCGGTTGTCGTAACACCCGTCATCAAATACACTTTCTATGTCGGATAAAATTTACCCGACATAGAAAGTGAACTTTCCATGTCGGTTAAATTTTACCCGACATAGAAAGTGAACTTTCCACTTACCATGTCGGTTACCTATTACCCGACATAAAAAGTTTATGATTTTATTACAAAATTGCCACCGCGCTACATACTATGACGGGTGGACTACGACCGTGATAAAAACTCGTCATAGAATGCTATTTTTCCACTAGTGAAGGTATTTTTATTTTAGTTTTACACCCAAAATAATGCCACGAGAATTTGAATAATAAATCACTTCATTAATAATAAACGGAAATTATTATTAATTGTGTAACATGATCTAAATGATTTAAAATACTGCATTTCAAAATTTGAAAGGAAAAAAAAATAAAAAATAGAACATTTTAGAAGAACTAAAATTGAACCTTTTTTAAAATAAAAGATATTTTACCAATAAAATAAAAATAAAATCTTAAAAGATAAAATATAAAAAACATACAAAATATAGTTATAAATATCCATATATAAATGTTACATATCATAAATATAATATGTTATATAGAAAAGTATTTTTTATAATAAAGTTGTTGAAAGTTTTATACTGTGAGACTCATATGACATGTTTAGATAACTTTTAGGTTATTAATATAGATGTTGTAAAAATATATTATTTTACATGCTTTATATTTCACTTATATATAAACAAGAAATGAAGGAAAAATGTAAAAAAAAAAACGGTTTTATTAATAAGAAAAATACATTTAATATCATATAGCGACTTAAGTAGAATTAAGCGATATAAAAAGTGAATAATCATAATATCCAATGGACGGGAGTCAACTCGCAAATTGCTATTATGATGATGGCCTTTTATATTGGTTTCTTAATACTCAAATGTAAAAGAATATACTTAAGAGGTCAACAAACTTGCTTTAACTTGAAAATCCCTCGTATGATAGTGGCACGAGATGTGTGACTACTACGACGGTGGTCTTATTGTTGTTTTCAAAACTATTATCGTGGATAAGGGTGGAGAGTGATGGACAAGAATTAGATTTTTTTAAAAGTTTGAGGTAGGCATGGCAACGGGCGGGGCGGGGCGGGTTTTACCTCCCGATCCCCGCTTCCGACTTTTTAACCATCCCCGTCCCGCCTCCGATCCTCGCTGGGATTAAAACTTAAGTCTTCATCCCTGTCTCGCTGGGTTTCGGTTCTCCGCCCCGCCCGTCTCCGATTTATATTATTTTTAAAAAGATAATTACATTTATAATGAATTAATTTTACTATCTATTTTTTATATATAAATAAATATTTATAATTTATAATTATTATTAATTAAATATACATTTTAATTTATTATATTTATATTAAAATGTGTATGTAAAAGAAATATTTAATCAATTTTTATTTATAATATTATTATTATAACACTATATTCAAATATTTGAATATTTATAACACTATTATTATAATAATGTATTCAAACATTTGATTATATATATAAGTTAATTCATTTTTAAGTTGTCATTTAAAAATATGAAATATATTGTTTATAAGGAAATATTTAATAAGTTAATTCTTATTCAATTAGTTCGAAGTAATAAAAATTTAAATTATCAATTCCTTTAATCCTTTAAAACACAATTATTTTATTAAGATAAAATTTGATGTATGATAAATAAGAATAATAAGATAAAAAAATATGACATAATAAAACCTAATAAATATAAATTATAAATAAAATAATATTAGTTACTACTTTATGTAAAATATTTAGATAAAGATAAAGAATAAAAAAAATTAACTTTGTGTTCATCAAATTGGTTGAAAAGATTGAAAAAAAAAACAAATTGATGGGAGAGATTAAGGAGACGTGAAAAACTGAAAGGTAAGAGAAAGAATAATGTAATAAATTAATTGATATAAAAGATTAAAAAAGATAAAAAAATTAAAAAGTGGGTAGAAGAAAAAAAATTTGGTGAAATATAAAAAAATTACCTTATATGTAAAAAAGAAAAGAAAATACTTTTAGAATATTAATATTTTAAAATTTAAATTTAAATATAAAGTCGGGACGGGGACTGGGTAGGGATTGCATTACCCATCCCCGCCCGCCCCGTCTCCAGTCAACTCGTGAGCTGGGATGGGTCGGTCCCCACAGGGACGAGTTTAATTGTCATCCCTAGTTTGAGGTGGTGACAACTTCTAATGATGACTTACGATATCAATTAGTTGTCGTAAGCCGTGGAAAATAATATACGTTGTATTGATAATGATAGCGATGTTAGGTATTTTTGAGTAGGACTAACACTAATGAGATTTTCACAAATAGGACATGAGTCAACTATATAAGAAAATATGACACCACCTTCAACTCATAATCTAACTCAAAACCTTAAGCTATTAGGTTATGAGCCTTTCTCATCTATAAGTTACTAAATTTTCCTATTTTTACCCAATGTGGGACTTCAACTCATACTTGAATTCTTAACAAGTGACAAATTATATGAAAAAGAAACAATGATGTGTATACACATAACAAATAAAAGACTCACAATAGAGAAGGACGAAATGACACACATTGATAGTGACAAATGATAATAACAAACGATGATGGCATAACAAGAATTTTGCATTCACGATAAGATGGAGTGACAAATTTTGTTTGCACATTTTAACATTCATAACACAATAAAATAAGTGAATAAATTAAAATTTTAAAAAAGGATACTATTGTTGTAACTTATTTTACATCAATCTTGAAATAATACTGATATAAAATTTGTTAAGCAAAGTATGATATCTAAGGACATTAATATAAATTAACTCGTGAGTCAACTCAGCTCACCACATATTTGAGTTGGATTGAGTTTGATTTTTTTTTTCATTTCTATCAATAATTAGTTAAAAGTGAATCATTCTCACTTAATTCAAGAGTTAAACGAGTTTGAGCAAAGTTATGGTAGACCAACTCATTATTCATTTTAAATTTTAAAAATTATAATAATTTAATAATCCTACTTAATTTTATCTTGTCTTTCCATCTTTCCATCTTTACTCCACGTTACTATTACAAATCAAACTCCGACTCAAATTTATAATCAATTATCTATCACACATTTGTGCTTACTATTATACTTAGGTTATTTGTCATCCGTTCGTTGCATTACTACATCACCATATTTGGTATGTTTGTTGCACTGCCATGTTTCAGTCGCCTCATTACGTTTCAGTCCTATGTTTCAATCACATCACAACATTTGACACATGTCATCGTGTCATAGGATTTCAGTCATACTATAATATTTTTCGTGCCATCATGTTCGTCACATCATTGTATTCATCATATAATTGTGCTTCATTTAAACTATAATATTTGTCATTGTTTCAGTGACACCTTATATTATTGCATCATTATGTTTCAATCATACAATTCAGTTGTATTTATTATAAAAAGATTTAAAAATAAAAAAGATAAATATAAATTAATGAGTAAAACTACGAACCTATAATAAATTAAACTGAATTGTAACATTTCTGATTCGCTGTAAAATAAATTAAATTAAACTCACCTATTTCCATCAAACCTTAATTTAAAAACGATGATCTCCGTATTATTACACTTGATACTCATCTATTTTGAAATATTTTATAACCATGCAGTAATGGTGTTAATCGATTTAAATAAAATGATCCTGTCTTTTTGTCCACCACCAAAAGTTTTCAAATCAGATAGAGATACAAAACGAAGTCAGTGTTTCCAAAAATGTGACAAATTTGATTTTTTTTCTTAACCAAATAAAAGCCCTGAAATTTGTCAAATAAAAATTTGTACAACATATACGTACATGAAAGACCAGCCCAAAATAAAATAAAATAAAATTTAAAATATTTATCGTATATAATAGTTGTATAATATTTAATAGTTGTTTAAACAGTAGTTGTATGTTTATACAAAAATAAATGACGCACTATTAGATTTCAATAAGAATAAGTCTAATACTTTGAGAAAGAGAATTTTATTTTATTAAAATTATAGTTATTTTATTTTATTATAATTTTCTAGGCAAAGAAAATTTTCATTTTGAATAATTTATGTAAATTATATATTTAAGGTATTTAAATCCTGACGGGATGTCTTTCACATTTCCACTTTTAAGAACCTTTATTTCAACATCTTTTACACTCATTTTGCATTTCCTAGTTGTATTTATTGGTCTCAATCTTATAAGTAATGCATTATTTATTGTAATACATAAAAAATATATTATAATAAAAATAAAATAATAATAATAATAATAATAATAATAATAACATTTTTGAATATCAATAATTTAACTCATATACAGTTTATGAAAAGTTTTAAAAATTAAATAAATAATATTAAAAATTTATATTTATTTATAAAATAATAAAGTTTTTAATTTATCTATTTATAAAACTAAAATTCGGAGTGATTATATGAAAAAAAAACTTGGCAGGAATTAAATACTCTTTTTCCTTTATATTAACGAAATATTTCTGCATAAATGCATCAGATTTTTCTTTAAAGACTGTTATTTTATATTAGAGAAAGTAAAATTACAGTAATAACTCCAATAATTGTAATTAAAATACAACACTCTGCAGGATCATATCAAACCAAAGTACAAAGCACAATAACAAAGTCACAAACATGTAGGGTATAGAACAACACTTATTTCCTTGTGTCTCAAGGCTTTCACATACACAACAACAAAGTGTAGAGTCTTAACTTTCACATCAAAGGTTCCCAAAAGTTGTTTTAGTTTCCCTCAATTTGAATCACCTTGGTTTGTGGTTTCTTGACCTCCTGCTTAGGGATAGTCACAACAAGCACACCATTCTCCATGCTAGCCCTAATTTGATCCACCTTGGCATTCTCTGGGAGCCTGAACCTCCTTTGAAACTTGCCATGAAAACGTTCAATGTGATGCCACTTGTTATTCTTGTCATCTTCATCCACATGTTTTTTCCTCTCACCACTAATGTGAAGCACCCTTCCATCATCAACCTCCACCTTGACCTCTTCTTTATTCATCCCTGGAAGGTCAGATATGAACACGTGAGCATCACTGGTCTCTTTCCAGTCTGTTGGGGTGCTTAGTACAGGGCACTTGTTGATCATAGATAGGAAAGGGTCATAGCTTTCATCGCCAAGAAGTTGATGAATGAGAGACATGGTTAATTGTTGTATTCAACACACACACTGTGTGCAAGAAAAAAAAAACTATATATATTGGGAGTAGGAAGTAAGTTTGTAGTATCTTCAATTGGATTGTGATTGGGAGAAACTTGGGGTGGTTTTTATTGAGGGGGAAGAGTGAAAGTCTTGAAGGTTCATGGAGTTTCTTTTGGATTATATTATTATTTTTAGTTTGATTGATGTTCCACCATCTTCTTTTGGTGATTTTTTGAAACCTTCTCGTTGCTTCTAACATGATCTTGCTCATTTTTATTTTATTATTTTGTCTATATATCTTTTTCACTATGATATTTAATCTTTGGCCCAGACTCACTTTTATCAATAATAATTTAATGCAAACAAAAAATTGATATAATTGAATTTTATCTTCATGTATCACAATTGTTCAATCGTAGTTTATCAAGTTTTCATAGGTTCAATTGGGTATTTGTTTAACTAAAACTTTGAGAGATGAAAATCTTCATTTTGACATTCTAATACTAAAACTTTAGTTTTGTTTTTCTATATAATATTTTATAAGACTCTTATGTCGGGTAATAAATATTTTCTTAAGAGCTTCCCTCTCTCCTTTCCTCCTTCTCTTTATTTCTTCTCCCTCTTATGTAAATTATAATATCAATAAGAGAAATATATTCAGTATCTCCCCTCTCCTTCTCCTTTCTCTCTTCTAAGTAAGTTTTCTCTGCTCCCCTTTCATGGACTAGTTTTCTTGTAAGGACGTTCTCGGATGCCTTAAACTTTATTTATTAAAAGATGCGATAATCATTTAAAGACTTAAAAATTTTTGTACAGCTTTATTTTGTGTTCATATAAGCTTATGAGGAGATGTCTAACCGGCTCTGCCAGATTCAGTCATCTCATAATCTTATAGTGAACACTTTCTTGTTATAACTAACTTTATCTCGGATAATCTTATTTTAACTAAAACTTGAGAGATGAAAGTCTTCATTTTGAAATTCTAAAACTAAAACTCTACAATCGAAGGAAACAAGTTGTTTCCCTTGGCATGTTATACTCGATGTAAAGTTTGGGCTAAGTCTGCACGAATTTGGGCCTCATAAGATGACAAGTACTGTCAAAGTTTTCGGCTGTTTCTTCGTTCTTTCTGCATTTCAATATTTTCTTCTTGTACCTCTATATTTTTCTAAGTTGCTAATGTTTTTTTTAATGTAAATATGTTTCAGAAAGCTCATTTTAAAAATAACTTATGGGGATTTCTGGAACGGATTTTTAGATTATACTTTCTGAAAGTATATTCCGTAAATTTTATTCCAGATTTTTTTTTCAAAATATTTTTTTAAAACACAATCTAAAAATTAGTTTCGGATTATGTTTTTCAAAATAAAATATTCCAGATTGAACAGTTCATAATTTCTTTTCATAAAATAAAATTCAGAAACACATTTTCAGATTTATTTTTCATATATGTATTCCGAATTTAAAATTTGAAACACCACAAATGTAAATGAAATATATATTTTTAGAGATTTTTGAATATATAACATGTTATATGATTTAAAGTATAGGTTACCAATAATATTTCTAAACTTACATCTATATATCTTTTACTACATCTTATCTCTATTTCAAAATACAATAATATTTCTATCAATTCTATTATAAAAAATTTGAATGAATAAATTTAAAAATATATAATTTTTTAAAGTTTTAAATTCCAAAATTTAGAAGATAATTTTATTATTTGGAAGAGGTTGACCGAATTCGACAATTTTATGCAAAAATCAATCCAAAAATAATTTCTACACTTAAATTATCTAAATTTTAAATTACAAAATTCAAAACAGAACGTCATATTTTAAAAAAAGTTTAGTCCCAGAAAGATGAATAAAAAAACTCCTGTTTTTTTTTTTTAAATATGAGAAAATATGAGATGGAGATACACCAAACATGGTCATTAAATAATGACACTGACATGAAAGACGTGCATTTCACTTCTATTAAATTCAAATATAATGATAATTGATTTAACAATGTATTTTTTATTTATGAATATGATGACTCTGAATCAAATTAATAATATTAAATTTTGTATCATTAATTATTATGTATACAATCTAACAAAAATATGTTGTTTATGCTTTTTAATTACAAGATCACATATAAACATTAAGACAAAACTAATGCTCTTTTTTTTTCTCAAAATAAAATTTTACATTTTTCTGAATAAAGCAATGGAAATATCTGAATAAATTTAAATAAATGAAAAAAAATTCATTGTTTGAATTTTATTTTTCATCAAATCATATCTAAATCTAGCTGTAAATACCTTAAAAATTTGTAAAAAACCGAAAGAGTAAGAATTGAATTTTTCCATAGTTATATATAGTATCCGTTGACCAAATTAAACACGAACCAGTTGCTGGAAAACGAGTCTTCTTAAATGTTCTCTTTCCTATTTCACTAGGGAATTGTCTTCTTCTTTTTACTTTTTCAACACCTAAACCGAATCTTCTCCAAGTTGTCTCCTACCATAGCCAAAAACAAATCTCTCTCTCTTTATGGTTTCTTTCTTCTTCTATTCCGATAAAAATACACTTTTTAATATTCAGTCACTGTTCTCCTCAACTCTTCACTCCTGTTTTGTGAGATAAAAAAACTTGAAGGGCATCAACAACTTGTGTGAAGGTATATATTTCCCCTTACTTTTTGCCTGCCATGTGGGGTTGTTCTTCATCCTATCTAATCCAAATGAATATAGCTTAATTACTTTGTTGCTTTTGGTATATATCTTATAATCTGTTGCTTTCTATATATATATATATGCGGAGGGTGAATGAAGAGGTGAACATCTTGAACAGTTTGTTGACAGAAGATAGAGAGCACAGTTGAACATACCCAAAAGGCTTTGTGTGTGCGCAGTTTTGTGCTCTCTGATCTTTTGTCAATGTACCCAGTTTCTCACCAACTACTTGTTAGTTCCTTGATTCTAAATGAGAATTGAATACCCTTTGATTTGATTTTCTTGAACATGCAAGTTTCTCAGGGAGAAAACTCTGGTGAGTACTTGTTTTTGCTTTAAACTCTGTATGTAATACATATTTGTTTCTGTATTTATTGAAACTGTGACAGTGCATTCCAAAACACACGTTAAGGTTATTAGAAAGCACACACAATTTTCCTTGATTTTAACAGGTTATTCCTTGAATCGGTACCTGCATGATTTGTTGTTTAGTTAACTATACGTATAATATCTTGTATTCACTTAACACAGCACTGGGAAAGGCAAAACACATTTTCACCTTCAGCAGTTGACTTGACTGAGTCAGATGTGTTTTGTATCTAACACTATTGAATAGTTAATATCTATGTCTTTAACTGTATAGAAAAGAGTTTAAACTTAAAATTTGTATAATAGTGAAGAAAAGATTAATCTCTTATGTTGATACTGTTTGAATAAATGTAGGGTGAAATGAAACATTAAGTAAAAATAATTTAGAAATTTTGAAAAGGTGGAGATGTCATAATTTTTTTATATTATTATTGATCATTCATGAATATATCTCGGTATTAATTTATCTCAAAATATTCAATAGTTTTATTAGTGGATAATTTATCCGGTGATTCATTCAGTCAACTATGATTATAATAATTGAGTATTTTAGATTGTAAATTTTTGTATAAAAATGATTTCCGAACTGAATATCATTATATAAACGATAATATAAGTAAAGTCAGTAACTGTTTTTAAGAAATATTTTCATTCAAAAAGATTAATATGCTTATGTAAAGGAAAATCATCATTGAACGATAGTAAAATTAAGATACTTAGTAATTTATAAATTATAAATTAGAAATATATGTAAATGTAATGTGAAATAAACATAAATTTAACGTGTTAATTTAAAAAAAAATTGATACATTTTCTTTAAATCTCATTTTTGCATTATAGGCTATTTATTATTGAAAAAATAATTAGTAGATCTTTGTTGAACATTATTGAAAAACTAAAAAATCTAGTAGGGGGTGGATCGAAGTTTTTATTGGTGTTGCTTTCTTTTTAATGTCATCCACTTGGCCTTTGCTTGAAACAAAGAGTAAGATAAAAATATTTGAATAGGAGAGTGACATTCTATCTTACAAATCAACCTGACTTATCAACAAGGTTGACTTTAATGTAATAACTAATATCTCATATTTCGAATCTTCATTAAAATAAATCTTCACATATGTAATATGTAAAGAGTGTTTCGGTCAAGATTACTTTGAAAAAACGATATTTGTGGAAAAGCATACGAGACAAATATCTTACCATGTAACTATCTAAGATTTGAATCTTTGTTAAAATATTTGTTTGGATAAGAGAAAAATAGGAAAATAATTAAAATTATTTTTTCATAAGTTAGAATTAATTCATGAACCATTTTCTGCAATTCGTCTAAATGTTTGTTTTTAACCTATGTATAAGCCAATTACAATTGAAGGAGAATCTACGTATATTTATTGACTAAATCATCAAACTCGATCAACTTTCAAAGAACAAGAATTATTTTAAAAATAGAAATTGAAATTCTCATTTAAGTTATCATTTAATAACTTAATTTTTCTTAAATTTAACTATTTAAATTAATGTGAATTATATATATTATGAATTTTAAAAATATGCTTTAAAATATTTATATTGATAATATTTCAAACAATTCAAATATTTAAAAGAAATTTGGAATATTTTGGTTTAAATTTAGGAAATTTAGTTTATTTTTTAATTTTTTTAAAAACAATTTTAGAGATCAATTTTAAAATTAAGTTGAAAAAAAAATATAAATCTATTTCAAAAAATTATTTTAAACAAAAGAAACTTAATCCTAGTCAAGTTTCTTTCATGACTAATATTTTTCATTAACCGACAAAATGAATATTTTACAATAGAATAATGTACCAACATGAGAAACAACACATTAACTTTGTCAAACAAAATTTCAAAAAAGTCTCGTACCATGAAATGAAACATATGTTAT